ACTAAATTAGTGGATACTAATCAGTTTGGATTTAGGGCCTATCACTCGACAAACTGTTTCACTACGATGAAGTGAGCTGTAGCTCACGAAAGCTTACGCTGAAATAAATTGGTTAGTCTCTAAGGTGCCACAAGTACTCCATGGTACTTAGTGGCCTTTCAAGTGGCTACGATGAATAGTTTATCATTTACGTAATTTTCTTAGTACTGAAAACAGCACTTGAATCTACCAACCACAGGACAACTAACCTCTTGGTTTTCAAGAGTATGTGAGCCAGTGATTTGTCTCTTAGATTGCTAATTTACCTTTGTATGACAAAATTCTTGTTGTTTTATCTTGAGGATGGTGTTCTGCAAAGTCTGGAGTTAGACCCATTATTATTTTCTTTAGATATATTATCAGCGCATGGTTTTAATGATCTATATACAAACAACATGCATATTTTTGTTTCTTTTGCCATGGGTTGTGGTTTGGGTTTTTTTGTTTTTGAGGCTATCTGGCATCATTTTTTGCAATGGTTTCCAGACATTAGACCTTGAAGGGGTTTTTTTTGCTTGGTTCTAACAACCACATACTCAAGATAATATGGAAATGGGCACCACAGACATGCTTTTAAGAACCCCTCTGGCATTTGTTTCTTTTATCTTTTCAAGCTTCCAGTGCATGACTGGAACTCCCAACCTAAGAATTCAGTGATGATACTATCTTTACAGAAAGGATATTCTCTTCCAAAAGCTGAATAAAATCTATTTATAAAAATGTATGTAAATGAGATAACTCAAACTGAGACAGATATAGTAGGAACTATTAATCAGTACAAAGATTGACATGTGTTACAGCATCTTGAACAAAGAGAAGTCATTTTCGTAGTTCATTTGGGCTTCCAATAATCCATATCAAGCTTTTGAAATTATTAAGACAGTCTATGAAACAGTTTTCTCCATCATTTCAATTATGCACTTAGTGTTTTTACATCAGAAGCATCAAACCAACCATTTGACTTTGATAAAGTCATGTAAAATGTAACTCAGGCAGACAAACTCATTGTTCCAACAGCACTACCACCACATAGATATTTCTATATTGTTGCCCATTTTGAATGTTTAAACAAGTGTACTTAGATCCTACTGCTTGAATTCTGATAATTTTTCCTATGGTTTGGAAGTAAACTTAATTACATGGAAACTAACGTGGTCAAATATTTATGATTCATATGGTCCTTTTACTTCCAAACATTGTACAAATATTAATAGTCAATATTCTATGAGATTGGTATTATACTACACTGTAATTGTCTCAGAGTGCAGCAATATTGTATAGTTTTAAATAGACTCATAAATTAACACAAATTTATACAATCCAATTGGTAGAGGGGCTCTGATCTGCATGATGACTACACTTCTCAACAACAGTATAGCAATTATGTAAAATCCCACCCTTTCAATACTCCCTAGCCTACACCCACAAATGTAGATGCCTCAACTTTTGGCCATTCCCACTGTGTCCAGAGTTTTTTCCTAACTCTCTCGGTTTTTAATTTATGCACTGAATCACAAGAGGTTAGACAGAAGAAAAATACAAGGAATATAATATAATGGTGGATGTTCTGATTATCCACACAAACATTAGTACTTTTCTGTACCCACCTAATGGCCTCAAGGATAACATGGGGCAATTACGTCCTCAGATTAATTATTCACTGTGTAGAAGTATTTTCTTTTATAGTTTTAAATGTGTTGCCTTTCAATTTAAGTGAATGTCCCTTTGTTCTTATCGTATGATAAAGCATAAAAATGAAATCCTCATATTTCTTTACATTATTGTTGATTGAGTTAGATCAAAGTGATTTAAATCACCAATTTTAATCATGATTTAGATCAGGAAGCAGAAAATCTATTACTTAAATAATCAATTTTATCACAATTTGCATTTGCACAACAGTTATTTTTCTGAAAGACAGGTTAATTCTCACTGGATGGTAACCATTAAAAACACACTGATTTGCAATTAAATATAGTCTTTGCACTAAATTTAGTGCTTCTTTTTTCTAACAAGGAGAACACACAATAGCTATTCATATTTAAGCAGCATAGCTTAACTTTTTACTAAACGATTAATTTTTTATTTGAGATTTTTGTCAAGTTGGATATGGACAGAAATTCAAATTCCATTAAAAACTACCTTAAGTGTGCTAGATCCATAAAAAAAAAAGTCTGTCGAAACATATTTTTAGATACAAAACAACTGATTTATTAAACAGAAGGAGATATTATTTGTAGTTAGCAAATTGGACTGATTGTTTCTGGTCACCACGGCCTTCAAGACTTGAAACATAGTGAATCTCATCCTCTCATACAAAGCATTTATTCAGCTATTGTAAGAGGAAGGAGCTTTCCTAATTTTTCAACTAGCAATTAGTTTCTTAACTTTGAATTAACTAGTTATTGACCTGAACAAGTTGAATAAACTGAAATTAAGATAACATTCTCTACATCTGTGTTCAAGATACTTAGTGATTTCCATCATTTCAGTGGTCTGACTTTCTTTAAAACTTTGCAACAAATCTGTACTGCTTTAAATCAAATACAAAAAGATATTAGAATATAATAAATGTACACATTAATATAGGTTGTCAATTTCAAATATTTGTTTAAATAAACCTATATAAATTTAAAGTTTGATTTGTATTTAAATCAATTTTTCCATCTACTCTGTTTTATAAACCTACATCACACCCAGTCTTATTCATCTCCTCTACATTAAACACTTTACGCATACTTCTAGTCATCATTTCATCCATCTCAAGACCCTTTCAAGTTCTGCTCTTTTTTCAGAAATGATTACCAGAACTAACAGTGAAGGCATATCAATTACATTATGGAAGCCCACCAGTCTATATATTGTATTTCAGTTGAAAACAGTTTTGCACTTCAAGCAAATTCAACCACTTTCTTACAGATAAAGAATACAATATATCCACTCGAAAATTATGGCACTTGAAGAACAAAACAGATATTCTGAGAATTTGTATTTAAAAAAAAAAAAAAAAGGCCCATTTACAGGTTAAAGTTAAATTTAAGTGAGTCCTTTAAGAAATTTGGCAGCCTATATCAGACCATTTTGTCCTAAATTATCTTAATGAAGTAACAGAAACTTTGCAGCAGAGCATGGCAGCAAGGTTCCCCAAACAAATCAGCAGGACCCAGTTCAGAGAAGTTTATCAAAAGTGCTAATAATTTATTCTACATAATAAAAAACCAAGCTAAAGAACAACAACAACAACGGATACTTTTCCATTACATCAGTCCATTTACTCATTCAAAGTACTCTATAAGTCTTGTAACTGGCCCAGTTTCCCCCATGTGACCCTTCCTCACCTGCCCTGCAACTTACTCTGCCTCTGGACCTAGGAGTTTTATAGAATGCTTCTTTACCCAGAACCCTTTGCACAGCAGAAGGGAAGTCCCTCTCTGGGTGACTGACAGTCTCTCCCAGAGAGGGGGGAGAGAATTAAAAAAGTCTAAAAATCATTTTAATCTAATCTGGTACTACAAACACTATTACGTACTAGTCACAATTGTACGGTTACTGCATGGCAGCATGACGAGTTAAAGCTGTTTGAGTACCTTAACTGTGTATTTCCATACCTTAACATGTTTGAATTTCTTTTAAGTTTGGTCTTAGGCCTGCATTTCCTGGGTTTATAACTTTTCTTTTGGGGATAACAAGATCATTCTGATGTTTCTGGCCTTTAAAAAACTGGGTACTGGTTAAGGTACCTTAACTCCAGTTTAATAGGTTTTTTTTTTTACTTGGACATAATATATAGCAGCAAGATATGCTCACTATTTTCTATCCCTTTATTACACATACAAAAGTTGTATTTTTCATATCTCTGCTGCACAATGATCAGATATTTTATTAAGCTGCCCACAGCAACACCCAAATCTTTAATTTAAAAGTGAGTTTAGCAATCAATTATGTGTACATGTAGCTCAAATTATTCCTTCCACTGCACGTTTCCTTATTACCATATGTTTGCCAACACGGACTTTCACGTGACATCAGGCTGCTCATTCACCTAGCACAGCTCTGACGTTCCTTACATTCTTTTATCATCTTGGCTATCCTTAAAGACTGTAGCATCTGAAAACTTTGCCACCTCCCTGTTCACTCCCTTTTCCAAATCCCCAGTTAAAAGAGTAAATACTAGTCCCAGCTCAAACCGCTGGGCACCATAAACTCTCTTGCCATGTTGAAAATTAACCACATATCTCAACTCTTTTTGTTTTTTGACTCTTAGCCAGTTTCTACTTTGTGACAGAATTCCACCTCTTTCCCTGAAACGACTCAGTTTATTCAAGAACATTTTTTTTTCATTGATTTAGTCAACAGCTTTATGAGACTCCAGCGCAGCTGTGTTTCCATTCCCCCGGTCTCCGTTGTTTTTGTAGTCACAACCGAGCCGCTCTACCCAGGCCAGCATGTAGCCAACATGTCAGCTTCGGCGCTGTTTACACACTCCGTCTGCGTGCCTTCCAGACACACTCCGAAATGGCAGTGGGAAGCCAGCGGTAGCAGCCGAGCGCCGGCCCGGCCAAGGGAGAGCGGCACACGGCGCAGCCCAGCCCCTCTGCCCACGGGTCGGATCGCAGAGCGGACATCGCGGCGGGCCGCCTGCCGCGTCCCGTGCGCACCAACCTGTTGGGACACATTCTTGAGGAGCCCGTGTCCGCGCCAGGAATGCAGCCCGAGGAGCCCCGCTGCCATCTCCGCGCCGAGCGGCGGGCTGGGGCTTCCCTGGGATGCCTGCCGGGGCCCGCTCCCCGCGGCGGGCTGCTAGCATCCTCCCCGCTCGGCGCCGGGCAGGTCTCCCTGGCAGGGGCCCGGCCGCCAAGCGAGGGCGCCGCGGGGCGAGCACCGGAGCCACTTCTCGGCAAGCGGCGGCGGGTCCCGCGGGGCCGAGCGCGCCGCAGCCCCGCCCCGGGCCCCGCACTCACCCTTGGAGTAGAGAGACTTGGGGGACTCGAGGTCGAGGTCGGCGCTGAGCAGAGAGATGAAGTCCGAGGGCATCGCAGCTTCGCGGCCCGGCAGGGGCTGGGGGGCCGCCGGGAGGAGGGGCGCTGCTGCCTCCGCCGCCCCGGCGTGGGGAGGGGAGACACCGGGAGCCGAGGGGGCGCGCCGCGCTCACTGCGGGCCGGGCTAGGCCAGGGGCTTCACGCGCTGTCAGGATCGGGCTCCGCCGCCGCTGACAGGAATCCGGCCGCTGCCAACGGAACGATCCAGACCGCCCCCTCCGTTACTGCTCTGCGCATGCGCCAACCGAAAGGACTCCGGAGGGTGGCGCACATCGAGAACTACTGAGCGGGCGACTTGCGCACGCGCTCCGGAGGGGGGACGAGGGAGGGGGCATAGGGATGGGAACAGCCACAGGTCAGATATTGTGCGCATGCGTAGACTGACCCAATCAGGCTTTGCCCATTTTGATTCGCTCGTTGGGTCATTCTGCGCATGTGCCTGCCTGCCCACGGGCCCCTTGGTGAGGGGTCGCGTGCTCAAATACCGGGGGGCCCGCGAGTGAGGGTCTACGCCTGCGCAGTTTCTGGGCGCGGCGGGAGGGAGTACTACCAGCGAGGGAGTAGCCGGGTCCGTGTGACTGACGGAGGGGGGATGAGAGAAGAGCCTCAGCTGAGGAAAGAGCGAAGCTTCTAGAACACCTGAAGGGGCAGGCCCGACCCACGCCACGGGGGGGGGGACCGGCCAGACCAAGGGGGCTCCTGAATGGGCAGGGGGCCGCGCCACGCTCGGGGCCGGCCAGCGTGTGGAGGGGACAGATGGAGAATCCAGTTAGCCCCTAGGTAGGGGGGATCTTACCTTGTGCCTCAGGCAGACAGGGGAGGATGCGGTGACTCTAGAGTTGCCAACTTTCGCATCGCACAAAACTGAACACCCCCGCCCCCCAGGTCCTGCCGCCCCGCTCACTACATTCCCCCTCCCTCACTTTCACTGGGGGCGGGGGGGAGGGGAGGGCTCTGAGGTGGGGCCAGAGATGAGGAGTTCAGGGTGTGGGGGGGGGCTCTGGGATGGGGCAGGAGGTTGGGGTATGGGCTTATCTCTGGCAGCTCCCGGTCAGCCACACAACAGGGGTGCTAAGACAGGCTTCCCGCCTGGCCTGGCCCCGTGGACTGCGCTGCGCCGTGCCCCAGAAGCAGCCAGCAGCACGTCCGGCTCCTAGGCAGAGGTCTGCAGGTGGTTCTGCGCACTGCTCTCCCCCACAGACACCGCCCTGCCAGCTCCCATGGGCCAGAGTACAGAGCTGGTGCTCGGGGCAGGGGTAGCACGCAGAGCCCCATGGTGCCTCCCCGCCTAGGAGTCAGGGCTTAGCACCGTGTCAGAACAGGTAGAGACTAGCCTGCCTTAGCTGGGCAGCACCATTGACCGGACTTTTAACGGCCCGGTCAGCGGTGCTGACTAGAGCTGCCACGGTCCCTTTGCCACCGGGTGTTCTGGTCAAAAAACGGACACCTGGTCACCCTAGGTGAATCTCCTAGAACTTTGTAATCACTGTAGCTTGACAAGCATGAAGCAGCTCCTCTCTGACCCTGTGCAGCTCTGGGGCAGGTGTAGTGAATGCTAGTCAAATGGTCTCTGGTGAAGTAAGGCCCCTTTTTGTTGCACATTTGGCCACATTGACTAAACCATCCCTGATTGGGAAATGAAAGAGGTAAAAGCAGAACAAGAGGGGAATGCTAGCTGCTACCAGGCAAAGGTGAGAAAGAGCTGGAGGACCCACATAGGTTAGGCTGCAGGGATCTGTGTTCCTCTTCCTGTGCTATAGCTTTTCACCCTCAGGTACAGACCAGAAGAGCTAAATTTTCTCCCCCCAGCAACAGTTTGAAGAAAGGTTTCAGAGGAACAGCCGTGTTAGTCTGTATTCGCAAAAAGAAAAGGAGTACTTGTGGCACCTTAGAGACTAACCAATTTATTTGAGCATGAGCTTTCGTGAGCTACAGCTCAGTGAGCTGTAGCTCACGAAAGCTCATGCTCAAATAAATTGGTTAGTCTCTAAGGTGCCACAAGTACTCCTTTTCAGTTTGAAGAAAATCATTCAAAGCTGATTGAAGAAGTTAGAGGAAAACCATTCCAGAGCTGTAAAAAAATGTCACATTTGCTGGAGTTTGAAGTTTATGTCTATTTCAAACCTGATTTCCTGTGATACATTAAAACTTGTCATGGACTCGTTTCCCTTAAAATAGGGAAGGGTTGATAAGGTTTAGGTTAGAATGAAGAAGTTACTAATATTCAACTTAATCTTTTTGTGCTCATCAAGTCAGAATAGTACCTATTATTCTGTCCGTCAACTCTCTGTGAATGGCATCCCTTGTACCACAGTCTACCAGAGCGTTGTGTATCAGCCCATGTGCTGCTAGTTTTTTTTCCTCTAATTAAACAGGATGTTCCAGGCCTCAATTTCTTGAACTGCTGAATCTGGTCCTAATGACAGTCAGCCTGAGGACTCCTACTAAACAGCTGCTCTGTGAGGATAGATGCTACAAAGGCCCCAACTTTACTATTTGTTTTTAAAACTAACAATTTCGAGTTTTCATTCTTTACAAAGATATCATGCTTGGTCCTGCTCCATACAACTAGTTGGTATCTTATATCCCAAATAAATTATATGTACATAAGGTGTGGGTAAGAGAGCCCTTTCCTTGAAAGGTGAAAAAAATGCAAGCGAATGGGTGACCTATCAAAGAAAAACGAAACACTGAAAAAAGAGGGGGTTGGAGACAGACAATAGTTCTTGCTATTTAGCCTTTTCTAAAATAAGCATTTTCTGAGGCTTGTCTGCCTGCTGTATAAAGGGGAGCCAGAGTATTCAACTCCTTCACAGAGGATGTAACCTAGATGGCATCACAAAGCTGATGGGACGTTTCTCACAACCATAATGTTGATATTATCCCTATCAATCAATTCAGGAAAGGGAAAAAGAGAAGAGGGGGGAGCACTAAGTGGTGGGGGGAAGCACTGTGCACACTTGGCAAAGAAAACCCCACTTCACGTTTGAGGATCTCAAAGTGCTTTACAAAGACAAATTTACTCTCTAAATAATATCAGAATAAGGAAACTTCAGCACAGAGTTTAAATGACCTGCCTGGGGTTTCACAAATTTGAGCTTAACAAGCAGCTAAGAGGATAAATACTTTTAGAAAAGATATGAGAATTGGGGTGGGGGAACGACACAGCAATTGGCATCTGTGGAAGAGCACTAAGATAAGCAAAGAGTGAGTGAAAAATTCTTGGATCAAGGCGCGAGAGAGACCACAGGATAGCATAACGAACTGTCCAGAAGTCTGGAATGACAAGTTTTCTCTAGTGAAAAACTTCATTATGCCAAGAGCATGGTATCCTGGCAGATGCAAACTCCTCGTGGGTAAATTTTCTACTAAGAGGGAGAAAAACTACTGAGAAAGTAAATAACGGAAGTGTTGAAACTAGTGACCAAAGTATACTTGAAATAAACACACTGAAGACTGAGTTCACAGAAGATACGGATTTCAAGAAAGTAAATATTGGGGAAATTAAGAAACTTAGTGAATAATAGGTGATGTAAAGTATTAAAATTCACCAATGTGAAAGAAGGCTGAGGAATCTCAAACTTCTTAATTGAGATTACAATTCCTCTGATGAAGAAGAAATATGAGACAAGTGTGGATGCACAAGATTCTGGTCCAAAGAAATGAGAACCTGCACTGGGAATGGAAAAGGGAACAAAAAAAGACTATACCATACAAAATTTCAAGGTAAAAGAAGAAAACAAAAAAATACCACTGAACTTCTTCATATTAAGAAGATATGTCTACACCAGGGGTCGGCAACGTTTGAGAAGTGGTGTGCCAAGTCTTCATTAATTTAAGGTTTTGCAGGCCAGTAATAAATTTTACATTTACAGGGGCCCCCCGATGGAACCCCAGACTGGCAGCGGACTGAGCGGAGCCAGCGGCCAGGACCCCGGCTAGCAGGGGGCTGGGCGGCTGGAACCACAGACCAGCAGCGAGGTAAGCGGGGCTGGCGGCTGGTATCCCAGGCCAGCAGCAGGCTGAGCAGGGCCGATGGCCAGGACCCCAGCTGGCAAGAGGCCAGCAGCCAGAACCCCAGACCAGTAGTGGGCTGAGTGGGGGTGGCGGACAGAACCCCAGACCAGCTCACCCACTGACAGTCTGGGGTTCCGCTGGTTCCTGCCAGCCAGGGTCCCGGCTGCTGGCCCCACTCAGCCCGCTGCTGACCGGGGGTTCCATTCACCCAGGCCGGCAGCTGAGACCCTGGCTGGCAAGGGGCCAGCGGCCGGAACTCCAGACCATCAGCAGGCTCAGCAAGGCCAGCGGACAGAACCCCAGACTGGCGACGGGCTGAGCGGCTCAGCCCACCGCCGGTCTGGGGTTCCGTCTGCTGGCTCCTGCCAGCCGGGGTCCCGGCCGCCAGCCCCGCTCAGCCCACTGCCAGCCTGGGGTTCTGTTCACCCAAGCAGGCAGCAGGCTGAGTAGGGCCGGCGGCCAGGACCGCGGCTGGCAGCAGCGTGTCAGTAAAAATCGGCTCGTATGCCGCCTTTGGCATGCATGCCGCAGGTTGCCAACCCATGGTCTACAGTAAGAGCAGCATATTGAATACAGACACTACACGCCCAGCTAGCACAGGTGTAAACAGCAGTGAAAACAGTGAGGCATTGCTTAGGTGAGTCAAGTACAGAAATGTCAGAACTCTAGAATGTATACCCCACACGGCTCGCCACATGCCAAAGCAGTGCCTCCCATTTCTATGCTGCTATTTTTGCAATGTAGTTTTCTGCTGCTTCCTGGCTTCTGGAGCTTTTTCCTGCCACATTGAAAGGCTCTGGCTGGGGGAGAGCAGTGGGAGTTCCTGGAGCCTTCCCTGCTGCCAGAGCCTTTCACTGCCCTCTGTAGCCACACACCACCATGTGGACACAGACTGCCTATCACTGCTACATGTAACTACATATACCCTGTACACTGCTGCAAGTGTGAACACGGCTGAAGAGAATAAATGAAAAATAAAAATATTTTAAAAGGCATTTTAATGAGCACGTCTAAAATGGTTGAGCTACTTAACTACTTCTCAAAATTCTATCTTTAAACAATGACTAGTATAGAAAAAACAAACAACAGACTTCATGAATATAGTTTTCAGAGTAACAGCCGTGTTGGTCTGTATTCGCAAAAAGAAAAGGAGTACTTGTGGCACCTTAGAGACTAACTGTAGCTCACGAAAGCTCATGCTCAAATAAATTGGTTAGTCTCTAAGGTGCCACAAGTACTCCTTTTCTTTTCATGAATATAGTGTAACCCCCCTTTCCTCTCTGTGTTATTTGGGAGCAGGCAACACTCACCTGGGTGCCTAATGCTGTTGACAGTAAAGGAGATCCGGAGTATCCCAGTGATGATGTTGGATAGGTGGGAAACCTCTATCCACCGCTCTGTTGTAGTCCCTTTACTTGTAAAGGAAATTAAAATTGGTGGTGCCTCCACTTACCTGGACCCTGTACACACTCAATGGTGTGTCTTGGGAGCCTCAAGGAATAAATCTAAACTAATCCGTGCAATGGGTCTTACTCAAAAACACCAGTTCTAAACAATATACACTTAGACTGGAGTTAACACATCTTTACTTAACAATTTAAGAAAACATGATAGACTGAGATTAAATGTCACCACTAATTTAAATC